TCATTAGGTTAACAATCGACCTGGAAAAGACAAAGTACTTGTGTCTGTCTTCACCAGGGGATGAAAAAAGACAAAACAGCACACAGTCCTAATTGTCACTGTGACTCCAGTGACAAAGCTTTTACTCAGTCAAGAGCTTTTGTAACAAACTGCTGTATAAAGCATTAATGAGGAGAGAATTGTAATTGAAATCTACAGGGTTATCAGACTTTTGGGGACTCAGAAGCCTTTTACAGTCTTCAAATTTATCAACAAGTCACAGAACTTTGGTTTATGTAGGTTATTTCCGTGGACTCTATATTTACCATATTAGAAATTGAAGCGGAAAAAATAAAAATATTTATTTACTGATTTATTAAAAGTAATCGTAATAAACCCATTATAATATAATATAATCAGCCATAAATAACAGATTATTTTTAAATAATATTAACAAAAACGATGAGGCAACTCACTACTGTGGATTTTGCAAATCCTTTTAACAGCTGGCTGAATAAAACATGCTGGGTTTCTATATCTGCTTCTGTACTGAAATGTTGTGATATAACTCACAACATCATATGTCATGGAGCCTGCCGAGAACGTCCCTCGACATTTGGAAGAATCTAATTTGTGAGACTGAGAGAGAAAAATGCAGATGACCCCTTAGCATTATTATGGAAGTAACTTTGACTTTGCAGACCCCTGGAAAGGATCGACTACGAGAACTGCCTCGCTAGAAAATCCAGTTGCATTTTCAGCAGGCTCGTGATCATGAACTTGATCTCACAGAAAACTGAAATGTGCTGGCTGTACATCTCACAGTGTAGATCTCTGGAAGTCATGCGGACAGGAATCACGTTCTGGTGATTTCACCATATTTTTTTCCCACTGATGTTTCAAAGAGGAGATAATGTCGATCATAAAGATACTGACAGTTGCCGTTTCTTGAACTCTTACTATGCTCCAGTCACTCTGCTCCATGTTTTACTTTCTCCATCTCATTTGCTTTTTACAGCAGCTGCACAAGTCTAATTGTTACCCCCTAGTTTGAGATGGAGAAATTATGACACAGACTGAATAACTTTCCCACGGCCTAACAATAAGTTACATAGCCGTGATTTGCCTCTGAGCAGTCTGAACCCAGAGAACGGAGTTTATCTCTGTGTTATAGTCTCCCCTATCAAAAAAAAAAAAAGTTAGGACATGGAAACTTGATAGTTGTAATGAACATATACAAATATGTCACTGCTTTCTTTATAAATAAAGCTAATGAATGCCCCAAAGTGAAAATCAGCATGCGTCTTCAACTACGATTATCTTCATTCTGTGCCTAGTACATTCTACACAAATGTATATGTGTATCCTATTATAGCAGCAGATGAAAAATAACCTCTGCATCATATATTCAAATGATAAATTCTGCTGCTAAAACCTAAATGATAATGGAGGAACAAAATATGTCTAACAAAAAAGATGGCAAAGTATACCTAGTATTTTGGGTGGAAAAGAGAGGAACTCAGATACTTCTGGAGTTATGGTAAAGTTTTATTTCATAGCAGAGTGGTTGATACATAATTGTTCATTTTATATTATTATTTTAACATGTATTTATACCTATGTGTTGGCATTACTGTTTCATAAACATTAAAGAGTTATATTCCCACTAAAAACAATAAAATGCAAAGGGAAACTAAACTTGCATAATGATATCTCTATTTTTTTTCAATAATTTGTAACCTGCAAAGTAGTTTGTACTTTGTAAAAATGCTGATGTATATAGTTCACATTTGAAAAGACAAGAAGGTAGACTGTAAGTTATGAAAGTGATTTGGATGGATTAAGTGAGTTTTAGAGGAAAATACAGTCGAGAAATGTCATCAGTGCAAAAATACAGTGGAATCCCACTGACTTGCTGTGTCCAGAATATGGTAAAATAACCTAAAAAAAGTGTCCAAAGAAGGAAGGGCAGGAAGTACTTCAAGATACTTTGCAAATTGTCAGGGTTTAGAGTAGTTGTCAGGTTCAAACACACTCAGATTGACTGTGGAGCAGAACTGTGCAGCAGCTGAAGGAAGGCAGAGGCACGTTCATTAAAAAATGTCAAGAGCTTTGTAATAATCATCAAGCATAGTATGTAACTGACACGACTGAAACATAGACACCACATTAGGACTGGCTTATGCTCGTAAGTTTCAACAGCCGGTAATGTTAATTTCCAAGTCATTGATACGTAGCCCAGGTCAACCTTCTGTTAACGTTTACATGGAAACTTACTGATACACATCATTTTTTTGATAAAAACTAATTATTTTGGCAAGTTTCATCCCTTGGGTATGAAGTTTATATTTCTGTATGCACTATGA